CTCCATGCCAAAAGATTTCAGGTAGTCAAAACAGAGTCCAGATTTATCAAGTATAACTCACAGGAATGTTTCTCAAGCTTCACAACGCCAAACTGTAATATTCTTAAAGTGTATTTTTAAAAGTTATTTTCTTTCCATCAGATATCCCTCTCACCAGATTTTTTGGCGCTTTATAGTTTCTGAGGTGAGATAGCAATTCTTTTTTCCATATATAGGTATTATTTCCTCCAGGGGTATAAGCAATTAGTTGTAAAAATCTCACCCGGTAAACAGCGATGCCAGAAAGCTGATATTCTTGCTTCTTTTAGCCGGCTGCCGACAACTTGCAAGCGAGCCGAGGCTGCTTGTTTCTGCCCGTTGGCTGATTAGGGAGTTTCTTGGATCGAACAGGGGTGGCCGCCCCCGTGATCAACAGGCTTCCCCCCAGTTCACCACCCCTCCAGGGTTGTTCCGACACCCTATGGTGTCCCAAACAAGGTCAGAATTCAGCCCAGGGGACAGAGCTCTGTCCTCCTGCTGCTGTCTCGTCGTGACGTCAAGCCGGAATCTATATTCTTCCCACTTCTGTTATCCTCTGAGCCAATATTTTTGTGGAAATGGTTTAAGGTAATGGACAGAGTTCCTACTCCTGTTCCTCCGAAGATGCTGGCCACAGAGACTGGCGAAATGTCAGGAAGAACAACCTTCAGAACATGGCCAAAGAGCCTGAAAAACCCACAACAACCATGTTTGAACTGCCTTATGGGCTGAAATGTAGGTTGCAGAGAAAATGTGAGGTCCCATGGCAGGAGACCCTAATAGGAAAAGGAGTTCAATATGGGTGAGAGTTTCTAATAAAGGAGATTCTAAAGGCACAACTACAAACAATTCCAAAAAGAAAAAAAGATGGAAGATAAAAAAAAAAACACCCAATGTGGCTTCACAAAAAACTCAGAAAATATCTCAAAATAAAAAAGGATAGATATAGGAAATGGGAGAAAGGCCAGGCCAGGCCACAAAGGAAGAGTATGAACAAGCAACAAAGACTTTTAAGGATGGTGTTAGAAAGCCGAAAACTGAGAATGAACTGAGGTTAGCAAGAGACACTAAAAGCAACAAAAAGCATTTAACAAAAGACAGAAAAAAAATACCGTGTTTCCCCAAAAATAAGACAGGGTCTTATATTAAGTTTTGCTCCAGAAAAACCACATTAGGGCATATTTTCAGGGGATGTTTAATTTTTTTCATGTACAACAAACTGCATTTAATCAAATACAGTCATGTCATCTTCTGCTTGCGGAAACTTCAGGTGGTACAGAATGCAGCAGCCAGACTCCTCACTGGAGTGAGAAAATACCAACATATCTCTCCTACTCTGCCCATGTTGCATTGGTTGCCCATCCATTTCCGCATTGACTTCAAAGTGTTAATGCTTACATATAAGGCCCTAAATGGTTTAGGACCTCGATACTAGACGGAACGCCTGCTTCCACGTAAATCTACTCGGATCACCCGCATGAGCCAGGAGGTGAGGCTGAGGAGCCTAACGACGAGGGAGGCCCGGAAAGGAAGGACACGAATTTCTGTTTATTCTCTCCTTATGTATTTTCTATTCTATTGTTGTATTTTGTTTATTACAATTGATTTATGTAATTGTTTGTGGGGTTTTTTGTATTATTTCACTGTTTTTACTATATTGGAAGCCGCCTACAGTGGTCTTTTAGACCAGATGGGCAGGGTATGTATAAATAAATAAATAAATAAATAAATAAATAAATAAATAAATAAATAAATAAATAAATAAATAAATAAATAAATAAATATCTTGACTTCAGCTAAACTTTTGACAAAGTGTCCCATGATATTCTGATTAGCAAGCTAACTAGATGTGGCAGGATACAACAGCTGTCAGGTGGATACACAATTAGTTATAGAATTATACTCAGAGAGTAATTGTCAATTACTTCTCCTCAAAGTGGGAAAGGGGTTCTAAAAGGTACTTCCTCAAAGTGGGAAAAGTGGGGTACTAAAAGGCTCAGTACTGGGCCATGTATTCTTCAACATTTTTCATTCATGATTTGGATGAGGGATGCATAAACACTTATCAGATATGGAAATGGCACAAAGTTGGATGGCTAATACCCTGGAAGACAGAAACAAAATTAAAAAAAGATAATGATAGGTTCAAATATGGGGCTGAAAACTACAGATTGTACAAAAGGTGGGTAAGGCCGCACCCGGAGTATTGAATACAGTTCTGGTCAACGCACCTCAAAAAAGCCATAGTGGAAGTGGAAAAGGTGCAGAAGAGAGCGACTCAAATGATGACTGGGCGGGGGCACCTCTCTTATGAGGAGGGAAACAATGATTATCAGGGAACTGGAAACCAAACCAATGAGGAAAAACTGAAAAAAATTGGTAAATTGGTAATGTTTAGTATTGAGAAAAGAAGACTGAGAGGATATATGATAGCACTCTTCAAATACTTGAAAGATTGTCATACTGTGGAGGGGCAGGATCTGTTCTCAATCATCTCAGAGTTCAGGAGACATAATGGTGGGCTCAAGTAACAAGAAATCAGATCTCGACTGAATATCAGGAAAAACATCCTACCTGCTGGAGCAGTACAACAATGGAACCAATTACCTCAGGAGGGGGTGAGTACTGCAGTGCTGGAGGCATTCAAGAGAAAATTCGACAACCATCTTTGAGATATACTTTGATTTGTATTCCAGCACTGAGCAAGTGGTTGGACTCTATGGCCTTATAAAACCCTTCCAGCTCTGTTATTCTATCATTCTATGGATATTTTCTGCTGAAGTGGTGGGTTCCCCCCTCCATCCCCGGGTCATGAATATTTTGCTTCATGGATCTTTTCATTTGATTTTCCAATCAGTATGGTGGGGAAGAAATCGTTCCCTTTTTTCTTGTTGGAAGACTTTGGCCTTGCTCACTGATCCATGGGGAAGGAATATCCTGAAGAATAGCAAGTCAGAATCTCCTTGGGGAGACTTGGAGCTGACCAATTCATTGTAAAAATGTGTTTTTTGTTTTGTTTTGTTTAATGGTGTAAGAAAATAAAAATTAAAGGGTGATACTGGTTTAAAGAATAACAGACTTATTTCAGTGTGAGTTTTCATGGGTTATGATTTTATCCATCAGCAACCTTAAATATCCCAGGAAAGAGGGTGAGTTTTCATGGGTTATGGTGTCTTGAATGATTTTATCGATCAGCAACCTTAAATATCCCAGGAAAGACCCATGGGTGGCTTGTAAATGGAGGAGGGGGCACCCTGTACCCAAAGTTTTGGGTAAGCTCCCATGCATATTCACAAACTCCCAGCAAAGACTTATTTAGAAATAGTATTTAATTGAATAAATATCTGATAGATTGTTACTGCTTAGAAATCTCAGACAAAGTTAAGAACACTAGATATACCAGATGCAGGGCATACCATTTTCACTTGTCATTTTAACAGTTGATGTTGTACTTAGGTTTTAAGTTGTTGAACTTTACTCTGCTAGTATCATTGTGGGTCGTACTTACTCTTGAACAATCTCACTGAGATCAACACGACTTTTATTTCCAAAGCATTTTTACTAGCAAAGCAGTTGTGCCAAGAAATTTTTATAATGCGAATATTTTATAAGCCGTTTTCAATTTCAGTGCTGATTGATGAGCTAAATAGGTATATGTTGAAGTATGGAGCTTATTGAAAATGTTTCAGTTTATGTTGCAAATTAAATATTGCATCCTATAGTGCACCTAAGGGCGGGAGTGAGAAAAAGAGAGGGAGAGGGAGAGAGAAATTATATTAATTCCTTCATTTATTTGCCTAACTGTTTTTGAAGGAATGAATGTGAATTAACAGTGTTATCCTTTCCTAACAATTATTTTTCGCTACTCTAGCTAGTTTAGTTCTAAAAGACAGTGCCATTGACAAGGGGGGAAAAAAGAACCTTCTCAGATTTTTTTTTCCAGCTCAGCGGTGGTAACATTGCACTGAACATTAATGAGGGAACCCCCACTGGTTTGCCTGCTTTGTGACTTTTCTATTTCATAATTATTTTTAAAACACAAAACGACATGAGGTAGCCCCGTCATGCCTCTGCTACTTCCTGGTACCGCAACGCTCACTACAGATGGCAACTTGTTCTTGTAACATATATGTCTCTCTGGCCATTTTCATCTAATTTGTATGGGTTCTACCATTTCCTTTCTCTCTTTCAGGGGCCTTGCTGTGTGTGAGCTAGGGGGTGGCATGACATGCTTGGCTGGGCTTATGGTAGGTCTTTTCTCAATTCCAATTCTATTCAGAGGGAGGAACAAAAGAGAAAAAATGTTCCAGTGCCTCCAACTGCTGGGTCAGAGAACTGTCAACAGAATCAGCTGCGGTCAAGCTGCAGAGTCTTGAGAGACCTTCTAGATTGACTTGCTTTCGTATCATATTGATTTTAAGGTTGCCTCGATGAGCAGAAACATTTTACCTCAGTGTAGTCAATATCTCTTGTTGTGACATTCCAGGCCACGTACGGTCTGTCTTTCATTGCCATCGCTGAAGCTCCCCCCCCCTCCTTTCAGATTATAGTCCCCCATTTGCTAAGATACAGGAATAGCCTGGCAAATCACAGTTGGAGCACCATGATATAGCTGCTAATGTTTTGCCTGCATTATTACACCAACAAACATGATCCAGAGCTCTCGGTAATTAGATTCTTTTGAATTAGATTGGCCATTCAGGAGCGTCATTCACCATTCTCTGGGTTCTGAGTCATGTATTCAGGAGATATTATGTAGCAGTGCAGTGCATTAGACAAGTTTTTATGTCTCTACAAATAAAAGCATATTGTTACACTGATTGGCATTTGACAAACCTGTCGTTCTTACACAATGTGTCGAGGTTACAGCCCAATGTGCGAGCATGTCAAAGCTCACAAAAAAATTACCCTTACAAAGCCATCTGCCTGCAATGCAAAGTTATATGAAGGGCATCAGGCAGTCAGACAGAAGCAAGCTGAAAGGCAGAGTGACAGCCTCGTATGATGGCTCTACTAGATAAACAGAAGCCCGCAAATGAAAGCCTCTCAGAATACCATCATCCGCTGTCACAATGCAATTACGGAACAGAATGATAGCAAGATAGAGGCTCCCGCAAATGGAATGATAAAAGTATTGACTGATTTGATTGAATGATTAAAATAATGCAGACATAAAATGAAAAAAGATTGAAGACTGTTACAGAGAAATAGGTGAGGAAGCATGATACTGAAGGCTTGTCACTCCTGTCTTCACTTCCACACAGACAAGCATATTTGCTCATTGTTTGCTGTGCTCTTTTTCCCCCCCTTTCCAGGTTGCTATTTCTGCAGATGTCAAAGAAGTTCTGTTAACTGATGGAAATGAAAAGGCCATCAAAAGTATCCTTATTCAGATAGAAAACTGGTTTGCTGGGCTCTTTCCTTTTTTGCTGGGTGAGCAACAATTGATATTAAAAGACAGCAAAAGATGTATAGGATGATGATGGTGATGGTGATTTTTTTGTGTAGTGTGTGGACCTGCTTGTGTATACATACATATGTACATATATACATACATATTTACTATATATAATGAAAACATGTAACATTCTTGAATAGATATTTGGTGCTATTTAAAATAAATTTACATGTTCTTTAATGTCAAAAAAGGAAAGCTTATGCTTAGACAGAAAGCACAATGCAACCTCACAGAAATACTGAACACACATTATGCAAAATTTGTTCACGGAAGTTCTGTCACATATGTGTGTGAGTTCACACAGACATCATCAGAGCCCCTTTTAATTTTATAAGACTCCAATTGCATTATGTACTTTTTCTAAATGTACATAATTTAGAACATTTAGTACATTTGCCTGATTTTGACATTTTGTTAATATTTAGGCCATGTACATATAATATAATTCCTATTACCCTCTCCCTACCTTCATACAAAATACATAATCGTTTACTTAATTAGAAGTTGTTCAATCTTGTACAGGTAATTTATTATTGTATTTGAATGCCTTCTATTTAATCATATTAGTACATATGCAGGTAAACAAATTTGCAGTTTAATATGGCAAATTATTCCCTTTCAGTTAACTAAGTGTCTACAGTAGTGCCAGAGCTAAGTCCCATAGTGAATACTAATGGCTGTTAGAAACTGAGAAGGAAACACAGAAGATATGTTTGCTTTGCTTCTTGATGATAATGATATTCACATGTTAAGGGCCTTCAGCTGTGAAAGTTATGGAGAGATCTCTTTGTTAATATTATCAAAGCAGATTGTTTTCTCAATTTTTCTTAAGCTTTGCTATGAGATTATAAAAAAAGAAAAAAAGAAAACATACACACCTGCAACATTCGTGCAATGCAAAGCATGAATATTACTGGGCAGACACTGAACATACAATTTTTTTGCAGGACCTCAAGATAGCAGTATCTGTTTCAGATCCTTGGAGAAATCAGGGACAAAAGCATTCCTAGACACTTACCACATCCTTTAAACATGTGACATACTGAACTTTAGGATGAGAGGCAGGAGGGAAATATTTTTATACCATTTAGCCAGAAAAAATCTAGTTGATTTTTAAAATTTCCTTCAAAGAGACCATCATAGTTTTTCAGTGGATTGTCATGGCTATATGCCGTGCTATACTTGAACTTGCCCTATACCTTATGAAAAAGTGTTTTTACCCCAAAGAGCACAAGTTATATGTTTTTTAGAAAGCAGTATTGTTAAATCAAAAGATATTCTAACAAAATGTATTTGATTATGTTGCAATCCTGTGCAACTTTGCTTAGAGAGAGAGACTTTTATCTCATGGCTATTGGAAGGCCTAATTTCTGAGTAAACACCTATCAGATTGTGCTTTTAATATAGATCCTATTTTACATACACCCTAGGGCACCAGACAGATTTCCCATGCATCTACTGTAAAGTTTTATTATCTCATATATTGCCCTGTTTTGCTTCATGGTAACTAAGTAATAAATACTAGCACTTCAAAGCAAATTTCAGGACTTTGGGACTTTACTTATAATTATGTTAGTTTAGATTTTGGAATATTCTAACGGAAGATGCCGGCCACAGAGACTGGTGAAACATTAGGAAGAACAACCTTCAGAACACGGCCAAAGAGCCCGAAAAACCCACAACAACCAATATTCTAACTGTTATAAATAGCACAAAAACTTATGATCAAACACAACTCAGGCAAATGTCTGCCTGTTTTGACCCTTCTAAAATTCAAAACCGAATCAAAGGTCAGAAAATACATAAAATATAATTGATTTTATATCTTTATAGAAACCATTTCAGCGGAATTATTTCAAGTTAAGTGTTTTTGTATTATCTTATTTGATAAAAATATGCTGCCCAGTAACCACCAACATTCTTTGCCTTTACTGTGTCATTATTAGGATGCTTAAAGAACAGATAATATTCAACTAGCATCCTCCGCAAGAGAACATGTTTCAAATATTGTTTCCCTGAATTCCACACTGGAGGATTACTAAGTGCTTAGTGTCGTGCTCTGCTCTTCAGCTATTAAACTGAAAATACCATTCTTGTTTAAAATTAGAGTTTACTTTTGTCCTCTAAATTTCTTTGGAACACTAAATTATATGCCAGTTACACTATAATATCAAAAAATCTCTGTCTAAAAAGTCAAAATGGTGTCAACCCAAGAGGAGAGAAAATCAGTCAGAAGCCAGAAAATCACTGAGCAAGCCTGCTAATTATTCTTAATGGGCAAGATGAACACATTAAGAAACAAATGAATACATCAGTGAAATGTAATTGAAAATCGACCTGGCAATAGTGCTTTGCATCTGAGCATCCACTTTTATATTATCATCATTGTCATACTTATTATTGTTGCTGTTATTAGCATTATTCACAGAGGATACCTAGGGGTCCTGCCTTTGTGAAGTCTTGAATGGGTGGGTGGAATTTTTTTTTAAGGAAACCCACTGAGTGTATTGTGTCCTATCAGCCTTTGATGGGTTTATTGTCAGTTCATTTGCGAGAGTAATAATTTCATTTCCTATAGGGATGTCAAAGCATGTGCTCTCTTAATACAAAATCAATATATATCAGGTATGTGGAACACACGTCTGCTATTTTTATTAACTATTTAAGGTTTTCAAGCAGTGTCTCTTCATACCAGATGCCTTTTATGACAACTTTTAACATCTCTGAATGGAGGTGTTTCACATGCAAACAGGAATGTATTTTGTTTAACTCTGGCACTACTTATACAATCACCTGTAGCACCATCCTGTAGTCTAGGTGGCTCTACCATATGGTTGCATAATCTTACTAGTACTAAACTTAATTTGTACCTGTTAATCACCTGCATTGCAGAGTAACAAAAGATTTTTGCCAGTTTAAAATAGATTCTTCTCTTTACTTTGTTGTTGTTTGCTTTTGTTTTGGATAGTCTTGTAGTCTTACTAAACACATAGAGCGCCAAAGGAAAAATTAACATATATTTGTGGAAAAAGTAAAAATGAATTTGAACATCAGATTTGCATCTTCTGGCTTTGAAGAAACAGAGATCTGAATGTCATGCTTTGGGCCATTCCGTGAGAGTCATAGCTAGATCTCAGTGAGAAAGTCCTGTGTTTTACCATGCACTATCTTTTAAAAATTCAGATGTTTAAATGTAGCTGAAAACTGCAACTAGGAAGGTATGTTTATAAATTGAAATATCATGCCCAGATTTATGAGACAAGCTTGCATGTGAAAGAATTACATAATAAGCTTACATTATAATATAGCTATTGAGCATATGGTATATGATCTCTGAATAATCTAGGAAAAAATAGGTTGATTTTAGTTCTGGAAGTATATGGATTTAGTAATAAATAACACACATGGCTACAATTTTGCATCCATTTATAAACATCTGTCATGCATTTATTCTGTTGATTTCAGTAAACAGGTTTTGTACGTGTGGCCATATAACTGGGCACAGGATTGAAGTGTTGCTGGTTGCACAACTAAATCAAAATTATAGAAAGGAAGTTTATTTTAAAAGTAGATGATTTGGCTTTACTGTATTTTATTACCACATTTGCTCAGTTAAGGAAATCATGTTGTCACTTATGAAATTAGTCATGCCTTTTCTTTTCTCTATGGTTCAAATAATGTTATTATATATATAAAACAAAATAAAATTATATCTATAATAAAATGACACTGAAACATAGAACCATTTCAAAAGACAAATCTAATGTCTTTTACAGAGAAGATTTAAAAACATTATCATTGTCATGACCATGATGATCATCAGCACATTATTTCACCTTTTTGCAATCATCTACTATCTGATACATTCACCAACTTTATAATTACTGTTCTGATATTCTATTGCTTTCAGCTGTGATGTATTACAGCATTACTATTCTCTTTGTAAATTCTGTTTCCATGTTTTGCAACCCAATGTTATGTCCAGTAAATCCGTGGTACTACAATAAACACTGCAATAGTGGGATCACTTACATATCACTTATAGCAGTTGGGCTTAAACCAAGGATGGGTGCAAATTTTATTTTGTTCAAATGTATTCACACATTCACATTTTCTTTACAATTGGAATGGTAAGAACATTTTTAAAAATTAAGGTGTAGGGGAAAGTCAAACTATCCAATCTCTTCACCTAGGATGAGGACTTTTCTTTATGAAGAAAGTATCTAATCTGGTTGTATCAAAAATGAACCCAATGAAATGTTTAGCCTTCTGTACATCTAAATTCAATAGCTACATCTGTTTCAAGCATAGAGGGGAGCATTCAGTACTTTATTTTCATGTTAAAGGCATGCGAGGAGAGGGTTTCCTCCTCCAGTGTGGCTCTCAGTCTGTGGAATGTACTCCCTACAGAGATGCAGTCTGTTTCCATACTTATTGCTTGTAGGAAGGGTGTGAAAACACATAAAACTGGCATATAATGTACTGTAATGTTTTTAACTGTACACTTAATTGATTTTAATAGTTTTATAGAAGTGCTGGTTTCATTTGATTGTAATGATTTTAATTATTTTATGGTTAAATTTATTTTACTAGTTTCTGTTGTTTCAAGATGATTGTAAACTGTAAGATTAACAACAGCAGCAGCAAATTAAGGAGTCTGAATCCTAATTCAGCACCATGAATATGGTTCAATGCACAGGGATTCAAGTTGAGAGGTTTTTTATATGATGCAGCTTTTTGCCAGGATGGATAAGTCTGTCAGTTTCTGTTTCTGCCTCATGGATTTTAATAATCTGAAGTTCTGTGTGACATGTGTTTGAGGAAATCTGCACAGTTTAGATCATTATTAACCAAAATATGAAGCAAATAAAATGCTTGTGGTACCATTTGTTTTTATCCAGGGCAGAAATATTGGTGGCTATATAAAACTTTAGCAGCATAGGCTGAAGAAGAGGCATAAAGCATGTCAGAATGCTTATTTGAGTGTGAACACATTTCAGAATTGTTCTCAATGTAATGCATATGTTGATATACATTTTTAAACATGGCTAGTCAACATGCACTGGCCTCCATAATAATATGCATGAATGTGCGTAACTGTGTTTTCAGCTGTGAAACACAAGAATCCTACACATACTAGTAGGGAAATCCTGAGATTTTTCACAATTTCTCACTCATCTCTAATTTAAAAGTATTTAAGTCACTAATTCAACAAAATTATAATGACTTAAATGGTACATAGACCTAAATGATGTGCATATTACCTGAGAATAATTTGTTGCTTTTAATAGCCGCCTAGAGTGGTCGGAATGACTAGATAGGCGGGGTATAAATACAATCAATCAATCAATCTGGGTTAAATAAGACTGGTAAACCGGAAAGTAAGACTACATAACATATATTGTAACCACATGATACATTGGGCGTGCCGTTATCTATATGTACATAATATGCTTTGTCTTCAAATCATGTAATGTCAGTATTATTTCCTGTAATTTTTAATGATATTCTGAAGTTAACATTAAATAAAAAAGGTGTGGTGATTTTATCAAACCTATTTATATACAGTACATACATATGATTATAGCATTTCAAATTTAGTTTTTAGAACTTAAAAGTCCTTTTAAGGGGGAAGGGTTATAATCACAGATTTTTTTTAAAAAATTCAAATTTGGAAGCAATGATCTGTGAAACAGCCTCTGAAAAATCCATCTAATGATAGGAACATAAAAATAAGTAAATCATTCTGAAGTGTTGTAATTACAGTACGTAATAATATCATAGATATCCAGATAGATAGTATGAGGCTGCATCAATTTAAAATTATTTTAAATAATAAAAATGCTTTAATGTAACCAAGAGTATGTTTCCATTGCAAGAATTAATTTTGCTTTTGTTGTGTTAAAATATAGCTAAATATTTTACTGTGCATTTAAGATGTGATATACTAGTATAAGAGTACTAGTAGATTTCAATATTGTTACAGTTAAAGGTGTTCCCAACTGAACAAAAGGAAGATTTTTACAAAACATATTTTCGGTACAAAATATTTTGTTTAAAAGAATCTGCGGATAGCTAGCTCATCTTAAAAGTGCTATTCTCCCTGGTTTGAAAAAGAAGAGGTTCGATATCTAAGATGATATTGGCACATCATCTAAATGTTTTAAATAATTTGTCATGTAAGTTTTTACAAAGATGAAGCTTCTTGCCAATAAGATTCTCCCTCCTTTCACTTGTTACTTTTGTGTTCCTTTTTGATGAAAAGAGTCCATCTTAAGCAATAAGAATATGGCCTAAAATTTCTAGCATTTGTTTACAGGAGGAAAGCAATGGCATTATCTACTCTCAATAGTAGATAATGCTATCCTGCTTTTGTTACCCACCCAAAAAATAATATGTAACACTATTACTTGCAACACATTACTGCCTCCATTCCCATGATGGGGCACAAGCCAGCCTCCTATCCCAGCACTTCTCCAGAACTAGATACGCCTACCTTGAGCAATCTCATGGGATCATAGCTCTGGCAGATATAATTGACAAATTAATGGGAGAGATTAATAAAGCAATCCGTTTAGCAAGTAAAACTCGTATAATTAATATACTGTGATTTCGTTTCTCAGATGACAGCCTATTTGTGGGTGCACACATGCATGTATACATGTGTATGTATGTGTGTGTTTGCATGTGGATGTATTCTTAATTGCTATAAGAGGGGCAGGTTGCAGTTGTACAACCTACAAGTATTGTAAGACTGTGGGTCTTATGAGCCCCAGTATAGCAAGTTGTTAAAGACTCTGGGAATTATAAGTGAACATCATCTACAGGGCCAGTTTCCCATCATTGAACTAAAGAATTTATTGGAATATCTCCCATGAAAAAGCATGTTGCAGTTTGTACTTTTAAATGTATGAAAAATTCTTAACACCTATATAATAGATGTAAGTGACATCATCAGAAGAAACCAGAAGGCAGGAATGTTCAGAGCTAAAGTGGTTTCAAGCTGGTAAGGAACTTTCTCTGTTTCTTTTATACCTTTTCTGTATGAAATTTTCCCTGTATGTTTCCTTAGTGCTTTTTTGATGTTAATCAAATATCTGTGTGTCTATAGAGCGGTATGTATTGACTACATATGAAATTCTATGTTCATCTATATACCATTTTTTTCAGTTCTGAAAAGTATGCTTATTTAAACACTTGTTCTGTTAACTTAATAGTTTCTCTTATGTAAATTGTGTGGACAGTCATTTTGTTGTTGTTGTTTAGTCGTTTAGTCGTGTCCGACTGTTCGTGACCCCATGGACCAGAGCAGGTCAGGCCCTCCTGTCTTCCACTGCCTCACAGAGTTGGGTCAAATTCATGTTGATAGATTCAATAGCACTGTCCAGCCATCTTGTCCTCTGTCGTCCCCTCCTCCTCTTGCCTTCACACTTTTCCAGGGAGTCTTCTCATCAGACGGCCAAAGTATTGGAGCCTCAGCTTCAGGATCTGTCCTTCCAATGGGCACTCAGGGTTGATTTCCTTTAGAATTGATAGGTTTGTTCTCCTTGCAGTCCAGGGGACTCTCAAGAGTCTCCTCCAGCACCACAATTCAAAAGCATCAGTTCTTTGGGAGTCAGCCTTCTTTATGGTCCAGCTCTCATTTCCATACATCGCTACTGGAAAAACCATAGCTTTGACTATGCAGATCTTTGTGAGCAAGGTGATGTCTCTGCTTTTTAAGACGCTGTCTAGGTTTGCCATCGCTTTCCTCCCAAGAAGCAGGTGTCTTTTAATTTCATGGATGCTGTCACCATCTGCAGTGATCATGGAGCCCAAGAAAGTAAAATCTGTCAATGCCTCTGTCGCAACTGCCACCTCTTCTTACGTCACCACTAGAGATGACAGGTCACGAGCTTTCACACACACACACACACACAGTACTTCGCTGCCACCAACCACACATAAACCTGACACTACAGACTTATTGTGGATTTTAAAATAAAAAGGATGATTTATTGATTACAGAAATAAAATGAAAATCACTGATTAAAAGAATCACTTATTTAAACTATATTTCTCAGACCTTAACCCTGCACAGTACTTTATTTCTTAACACACAGTTACCTAACCTATACCAAACCCTCTCACTCTCCCATTCCCCAACAACAACAACCCTCAACCCCCTTCTCTCTCCTTGTACACCCCCCTTATATACACAAGCTCCACCCCTATAAGACCCACCTCCTGCCTTGCCATAGGCCAGGAAACTCCAGCCTTAGCCAAGACAGGCAGGTGACGTCATGGCACACGTCACAGCCTCCATATCTTCCCCTTCTATTTGCCAGGAGGTGATGGGACCAGTGGCCATAATCTTTGTTTTTTTTTATGTTGAGCTTCAGACCGTTTTTTGCGCTCTCCTCTTTCACTCTCATTAAGAGGTTCTTTAATTCTTCCTCACTTTCTGCCATCAGAGTGGTATCATCTGCATATCTGAGGTTGCTGATATTTCTTCCAGCAATCTTAATTCTAGTTTGGGATTCCTCCAGTCCAGCCTTTCGCATGACATATTCTGCATATAAGTTAAATAAGCAGGAAGACAATATACAGCCATGTTGCATTCCTTTCCCAATTTTGAACCAATCAGTTGTTCCATATCCAGGTCTAACTGTTGCTTCCTGTCCCACATAAAGATTTCGCAGGAGATGGATAAGGTGGTCAGGCACTCCCATTTCTTTAAGAATTTGCCATAATTTGCTGTGGTCCACACAGTCAAAGGTTTTTGCGTAGTCAATGAAGCAGAAGTCAGTCATTTTAGCAATATGCAAAAAAGTTATTTTTAATATTGTACACTATCATGCCAGTTTTTACTCAATAGCCCTCCCAGAGAAAGATACCTGTTAAAGGATCATATCACTCCCATATGAACCTTCTCTGCTTTTAAGATCTTCTGGAGAAGCCTTTCTCTTGGTTCCACTACTTTCCCAAGCTCACCTGATAAGGACATGAGAGAGGGCAATTGCAGTGGCTGTTCTCAGGCTTTGGAAGGCTCTTTGGCCCTCCCTCTTGTCCTTCCATCTGACGAAGACCTTCATCTTTAAACAAGTTACAGTGGTGCATTGCATAGCGATGTTAATCGGTGCGGCAAAAATCGCCGCTAACCGAAAACATCACTATGCGATTTTTAAAAACCCATTGAAATGCCTTGAAACCCCTTCAATGCGTTCCAATGGGGGAAAAACTTACCTTTAAGCGAAAATCCTCCTTACGGCAGCCATTTTTGCTGCCCGGTAAGCAAGGAAACCATCCCAAAAAAGAGCGGGCAGCCTTTTTTTTTTTTTAACCCAGCAGCCATTTTGGAACTGCCAATCAGCTGTTGGAAAAAACAGCTTACCGATCATCGCAAAGCAATTTTTTACCATTCAAAACATTGTTATGCGATCGCTTTTGCGATTGCAAAAACCTAATCACTATCCGGATTTGTCGTTAAATGGGGCGCTCGTTAAGCAAGGCACCACTGTATCTCAAATGCTGGTTTTTAATTTGTTTTCAATTGTTTTTATACTTGATTGTTTTAATCTTAAGGTATGTTTAATTGGTTTTCAATGTGATATTTATATAATGTTTTAAATTTTCTTATTTGTGAGCTGCCTTGGGTCCCTTATAGGGAGAAAGATGGCATATAAATAATTTAAAATAAAATAAAATAAATCCGGTCAATTAAATTCCTAAAAGATGCTCTGCATGGAAACTGCTCCATATCTGAGGATCCACCTGATACCATGTCTGAAGCTGAGAAGTAGGTTTTCTTTGCCTAAAATTTGACTCTTCTTATTTGGGGGTAAGACTGTAACTCAATCAGAAAGCACATGCACAGGATACTGAAGGTTGCAAGACCCTATCTTTTGAATAAGATTAGAAATGCCTGTCTGAAATCCAAGAGAATGATCTGCCCAGCAGCACAGAAGGTACTCAGCTGAGTATGCCAGTACTAAAGGTTCTTCCAGATGTTTTCCTGCTTGTGCGCATCTTGTGGGCACTTTGTTGTACACAGTGGCAAACAAGATGCAGCACTAAGATAGTCTGGGATCTAATCCAGCTGGGTGTTTGTTAGATTTGCTGTGATCAAAGAGAATAAATGACAGCAACTTTCAGAACCTGATCAAGTAGGCGTCAAGAAGCATCAGTGGTATGAAATCAGCCCAACTGATCTCTTTGTATATGTCAGAAGTAACGAATGGCAAAAACCAGTTCTTGTTATATCCATTTATAGCTTAGCCTACTTTCCTTAAGAAAGGAAAAATGTTAAACTTTCATGGTTTTTTCCACCAATTGGAGCGAGTGTGGTCTGGTGGTGACTGACCTCGTGTCGGTCCCCTTGTCATGGTCAGATCACCACCTAATAAAATGCAACCTCTCAGTGGCACTCCCCCCTTGCAGGGAGCAAGGACCTATTTCTATGGTCCGACCTCGAAGGCTACTGGACCCTGTTGGATTCCAGGAGGCCATGAGAGGTGTTCCAGCTGACCTGGCTGGTGCTCCTGTCAAGGCTCTGGTTGACAGCTGGTCCATCGCTGCCACTAGGGCTATAGACACGATCGCACCTAAACGCCCTCTCCGGCTCAGAGCTCGGCCTGCCAGGAGCTCCGAGCGATGAAGCGACATAGGAGAAGGCTTGAGCGTAGGTGGAGGAAGAACTCGATGGACTACAATTGGATAGCTGTCAGGGTCGCAACTAACCTTTACCTGACTAAGGTAAAGGCTGCATGTAGATCATTCTTCGCTAACCGGATAAGCGAAACGTCCAACCAGCAGGCGGAGTTATTCCATATAGTGCGCGACCTGTCTGGAACTGGTTCAGGTGATAGGCCTCCCCCTAGTTTTTCCCCTGACCAGTTTGCAGCCTTTTTAAAATCTAAAGTGGAGGCCATCCGCCGGGAGCTCTCTCCGTTTTTAAAAACAGTGAGTCGAGCAGAGATGTCCAGCGCTCCGTCTTACCTGGTGACTTTCGATTCTTTTCAGCCTATAACGCCTGATTCCGTCTCCAGGGTGCTTGACCGCTGTCGAGCCACCACCTCCTCCTTGGACCCTTGCCTGGCTTGGTTAATCAAAGCAGCCAGGCCAATAACAACAGAATGGGCCACAGTAATAATAAATGAGTCTTTCCTTGAGGGTAGATTTCTATCCGCCCTCAAGGAGACACTCATTAGGCCCATAAGAAAGAAACCTAGTTTGGCGGCGGACGAAATTGGCAATTATAGGCCCGTCGCCAATGTTTCTTTCATGAGCAAAGTGGTTGAGAGGGCAGTGGCCGATCAGCTCCAGGCTCACCTGGACGAAACGGATGCCCTGGATCCATTTCAGTCGGGCTTCAGGCCGCGTCACGGTACTGAGACGGCATTGGTCGCCCTGTACGATGACCTGTTGAGGGAGGCCGACAGGGGCAAAATCTCCCTGCTGGTCCTCCTCGACATCTCGGCGGCCTTTGATACCGTCGACCACGGTATCCTCCTGGGGAGGCTCTCTGAGTTGGGAATTGGTGGCTCGGCACTTGCCTGGCTCCGTTCCTTCTTGGGGGACCGTCCCCAGAGAGTTCAGCTTGGGGAGA